AAAAAAGTAAAGGCTACCCTACAACCAAAAGTCATCACTCACCAGCAATGAATTTCATTAATTATGAAAAAAAATATTTATTCTTTTAAATGACAGTTATTTTAATTAAAAATAATATTTTTATTTAATATTTAATTTTAAAAAAATATTTCAATTTTTTATATCATGATTTCTATTTCTCTCTCCATAAAATATAATAATATTAACTAAAATGACATAATTTTATATCTTCTATAAAAATAAATACTACTCTTTTAAATGAAAGAAATAACAATTGAAATTATGGAGAGAAAGTGGATATATATATATATATATATATATATATGGCAGCATAGCCGACCAGTTTCCCACATATATTTTTGTAATTAACAATTATTGATTCGAATAAATATAGAATATATTTTGTACTAAATAAATAAATAAAAGAATACTGGGACCCAATTAAACCAAAATCTAAACACAATGAATAGTGGGTGAGCAGTCTCTGTCCCACGTGCCGACTAGCCTCGAACTTCAACGCTAACCTACCAAAAATATCATCAACATTCAACATTCATTGTTTATATTTTGATATTTTTGAATTTAAATTAAATTAAATAATCATAACTCCAGTTGGAGGAGCTAGCTAAGGTGCTAAAAACTAAAAATCCTCTTGAACAAACTACCCTTTTCTAGCCACTCAAAAGTTAGATATATAATTTGAGGGAAGGCTTATATTTACAAACTTTTTGTTTATAAGTTCTTACAAATTACATTATTTTTTTCAAGGAGAACACTAGATCACACTATCTTCTCCCGGGAGAACTTAGTGTATTTGTAAAAAAAAAATTGTAAACGGATTCTTCCCCATTATTTGAATATGATTCTGTTTTTAAAAATTATTTTGAATATAAATTTTAAAAATTAATTTATTAAAAAATTTATATTTATTTAAAAAATATTATAATAAAATTTAATAATTATAAGGTTATCATTGGGAAGTAATTTAAAATTAAAAGAAAGTTAAATTTATCTATAAAAGTACCATTCATAACTTTATATAATTAAATTGTTACAGCAAAAATAATAAATCTAAAGATTATTATTTTGAAAGTTATTTTTACGAAATAATCCTTTTTTAACGAATTTTTTTTCTAAAAATTGTTTCTAGAAGTAGAAACAAAATATGCCCTGATCACGGGTCTTCCTTCCTGTTGTCTAGGAGGGTACATGACAACTTTTTCGGAATCAATTCTTTTTTAATTTCTGTTCCCGAGGACAGAAATGGATAGAAAACTCGTTTGGTAAAATCGGTTTATTTTTTTGTTCCCGGGATGAACCAGTTTATTTTTGTGTTGGGAAACAGAAAAAAGAATTAGAAAATTTCTGTTTTTTTGTTCCTGGGCACAAAATGAGAAACACTTATCTCTCAATCAATCTCCACCTCTACCATCATCTCCACCACCACCATCATCCCGACACGACTGTCGCCACCATCGTCGCCGCCGCCATTGTACCACCAGTGCCGTCGTCACCACCTTTCACCACCACGATGCCACCTCCACTCATCACTATCACTGTCACTGTCACCATCACCACCGCCATCAACCACCACCACCACAATAATCGCAACCACTGCCGTCGCCGCCACCATCGCCATCACACGCCACTGCCAACACCCTCATCGCTACCACTACCACCACTACCATCACTACCACTATCACCAACCACCACTACCATTGTCGCAGCCACTACCGTCACTGCCGCCGCTAACCACCACCATCGTCATAACCATTACCGTCATCACCACCACCACCGCCGCCACCATTACACCACCCTTGCCACTACCATCACCACGTCATTACCACCATCACCACTGTCACATACCACCATCGCAGTCACTGCCACCACCACCACCATGATACCTTCATAACCACCACCACCATGTCACTGCTACCATTGTTGTCGCCACCAACCACCATACCCACTGCCATTGTTGCAGCCACTGCCGTCACCTCCACCACCACCATCCCCACCACTACCACCGCTGCCGCCACCATTACCACCGCCATCGTCGTAGCCACTGTCGTCACAACCACCACCACTATCTTCATCTCGTCACTGCCACAACCACTACCGTATCGCTGCCGCCACCACCACCATGCCACTCGCCGCCGCCACCACCACAACCACACCATATGAAAAGGAAAGTGATGATCCGAAATTTTTTTATTTCTATTATTTGTTGTGTTATCAAACACAATTCTCAATCTCGGAATAGAAATAGAAATGTTATCAAACACATTTTTTTTTCTCAGAAACTGTTTTAAGGCACAAAAATAGAAAATAATTGTTTCTTTTTAGAAACAGTGCTAGGAAATAGAATGGTAGTCATGCACACGCTAAGTGTTGCTGTTACGAATCCAAGAAGGTTAATTTGATATTATTAATTTATTATATAGATATGTTATTCTAGCTATCTCCTTTTCTTCTTATCTTTGCCTTTCACTTTCTAACAATGTATAGATAGATCGTAATTTCAACTACTTTTATCATTTTTCTCACCTATTGAGATTCTAGTCTAATAGTGTTACAGTGGTATGCAAAGGTAGATAGAAAAAAAGGTAAAATAACCTATCTTTTTATTATATAATGAGATATAAAGAAGATAAATTATCAAATGATGGTAGCTCAGTTAATGTGTAGGAGCTGAGGGTGGGGGACAACGAACATGTGTTTGATATTCTACATTTCCATCTTTGAGAGGGACTTAAAGCCATAGAAGATTCCTCTTGTTTATCCAAAAAAGAAGAAGAAGGGAAGCATATTTATCATTTTAAATAAAACAACTTTATATATAAAAAATTTGATTTTAGATGAAACGATATTATTTTGGTGCACAATTAGTAATTTTTTATATATTTTTTTTCTTCACTTTCTCTCTCTCTTCCTATTTTTATGGAAGAGAAATAATGTAAAAAAATCATTAAATATATACTAAAAAGATTTCGTTTTATCTAAAATAACTCAAAAATATATTATTTAAAATTACAACTATTTTTTCCTATAAAAAAATAGGTAATTTACGGGATTTGTGTTTATCCATTTAAAAGACAAAAAATTATATAATTTTTCCTATAAGAAATTATTAATTTATAAGATTAATATTTGTTCATTTAAAAGACATAAAATTATATTATTTTAGACAAAATTATTGGTATTTATGGTAAGAGAAACACTTATACAACATAAATCATGATAGGAGAAAGTGAATAATTTTTTTTAATTTAAATATTATATAAAAAATAATAATTTTAACTAAAATGAATGTTCTTTAAAATAATAAAAAAAATTAAAATTTATTTAAGGGAAGGATAATGTAACAAACAATTAGTGTTACTATCAATGTTACTACCAATCAATTTCACCGTTAGATCGATTATGTTGATCCAACAATTATATTTATTTTCATCTTTGTATGGTTATAATTTGGGTTCGCTTTTTCTGCAGTTACTACAAATAAGTTATATGCAGTAAGTCTAATACGAAGTCGTTTTGGGCAGAAATCATGGTATTTTTGTAATTTTATTTTATTTCACGGTTATTATAGTCTTTATAATCATAATTATTTAGTTTTTCAATACGTCATTTTGGGAATAAATGCAAATAACTTATTTGCAGTAACTGCAGAAATATTATTCTGTTATAATTTTTCATATTTTACATTTTATATTTATTTTCACCTTTCATTGGTTACAATTTTTCATATTTAATGTGAAATGGGGAATCAAAACTAGGGGTGAAACTGGGCCGGGCCGGCCTACAGGGGCCTACGGCTCGGCCTACATCAGGCTAGACCTGACTTAGTATATTTTGTATAATAGGCCAGGCTCGGGCTTTAAAAAAGCTTGTTTAATAAAAAGGTCGTAGACTCACTTTCAAAAGGCCGAGCCTATAAGCCTACAGGGCGACCTATATTGTACTATTTATTTTACATAAAATAAAATAGAGTAAGTATGTCTTGAAGAAAAAAAAGATATAAATTTAATCATTTGCAATTATTTATAACTTAATTATATTCGATTATATTTTAATAGAAATCTTACTTTATTTCTTATATACGAGGAACCAACATCTCAACATGTTAGATTGTGTATATGAATATATTAAAAGATTTTTTGGAGTGGTTATACTTACTACAAGCATCATGATGTGTTTGTTGGATTCATGTAGTTATTTTAATTTACATAGTATGGATTTATTTATCTGATGAAATATATGTTATTTAGTTTGAGCATTTTGCTTTTGAAAATGACATAAATGCATATTGTATTAGTTTTGTTATGATTCATGATTCTGCTTGGACGTTGAAATTATGATTTTTGGTGTAGCAACAGAATTTGAGTATTTTGTAAAGTTGATTCATGGTTATGCTTAGAAGTTAAAAATTAACAGGCTAACGGGCCAAGTCAGGCCATTTGTTTTTTTATAAATGGGCCAAACTAGGCTAACAGCTAGACTCATACTAGGCTTGAACCAAGTTAAATTGAAATTTTTTGACGTAGGCTTGGACTTTTCGGGGCAAAGCTTGGCCCAGCCTAGTCCATTTTTACCCCTAATCAAAACCATATAAAGATGAAAATAAACATAACTGTTGGATCAATATAATCAATCTAACAATTATTGGTAGTAACAATGGTAGTAACTATAATTGATTGTTATAATATCCTACCCTATTTGTTTATACCATTCTTTAAAATCTTGAATTCACCCCAAAATAGAATTGCCTCCCGGAAAAAATATTCTGATTTATCCAAAATAAAAATTTATTCTGACAGCGAGTGAAAACAAAAATTACCGTTGATTTGTCCCCGTCAAGATGCTATCCTATAATATTGACAATGGAAGAGACACATCATTTCAATTAAATTATTATCAACTTAATTTTTGTAATAATTATTTATTTTATTAATCACTGGCAGCGTGTCTCTTTTTCATTTTGATGTATAAATTGAAAGTCTTACCAATCAATCATTGATTTCACTTTCTCTTCTGTTCTCTGTGTTCCCCCAAACTCTCTCTCTCTCTCTCTCTCCTCTCACAGGTTTTTGTTTTGCCTACACAGAACGTCTCTGAAGGTAAATACTCATCTGGGTGTTTTTTTTTTCTCCCTAATCAATGCATTTCATTTTTTTATTTTTATTTTTTTGGTGGGGTTTGTATTCTGTGTGGAACTGTACCACCAAATTGTTACCTTTCTCAAATTCGGAGTTGAAATTAAAGCCTTTGATGCTATCCCATTTTTTTATTTTTTATTTTAAATTCTATGTTATGCACTGTGCAGTCTGTGCTAATGGATTTTCTATCCGAAATGCTAATGCTATTTCTTTATCTTTTTTTTTTTTTTTTGTGTTGGGATTTATTTCATGTTGGAATTGAGATTCTTGGGTTGAATGTTGCACATTAGGGTTTTTTACGATGTGATAGGGTCTCTTTTGATCTGACTAAGTGGTTTCTCCAAGTCTTTTTTAGTTTCTTTCTTCTTTAGTGGTATAAGAATGTTTATTTTTTTTTATATTTTATATTTTTTTGTTTAATGTGTGGTGTGTAGTAAGTGTTTTGGTGCTGTAGATTAATTCAGGTTCAGGAACTTTGTGTGTGTGTGACTCAACGAGTTTGTAGGTCAATTTATACGAGAAAGAAAGAAAGAAGCTCTGTGTGCTTGATTTACATCTGGTAGTTCAAGAATGTTTTTCTAGTTTTATCCTGTTCTGTGTTGATATTTTTGGGGCAAAATTGCTAATTCATTTTCTGTTTAGGTCTGCTTCTAAAGAAGATTGGGTGTCCAAATTTCTACCTTTCTGCTGTTTTGGGATTGGCATCTTGTTAGCATGTATATTGTAAAGTTTTATTTATTTATTTTGAATTTACTGAAAGGGGTTAAAGAAATTATTTACTTGTGAATTGCAATTGATTATGAGTTTATTTCATGCTTGATTGGTTTTTCTGCTTTCATGTGGGTAATGGCTGCAAATGGTATATTGCTCTTTACACTTGGGATAGAAGTGTGTTCTTGGTTGGGCAGAAAAGTGTCTGCAATGGGATTCCCCATTAGTTGTCATAGTGTGGTTCTATGTATGTGCCCATATGTGTTAGCTTGTGTACTGTATAATTGTTTTGATTATTGGAAGGGGTTAAAGAAATTATTTATTTGTGGTGCAAAATGAGTTTGAATCACAATTGGCTATGAGTTTAGTTTTAGCTTGATTGGTTTTTGTGGTGAGTGGTGATATATACATAGGGAGAGGGATGGGAGGCTTCTCTTGGGGAATGAATGGAAACGGGATACTATCTTCACCTTGTGCAATTGCTTTAGTTTATTTGAGTGCGTGATGATTTTATCTTCTACTGCTGATTCCTGTATATTTTATTATTTGAGTCCCATGTTTGTGCAGTGATTATAATTTTAAAAATGAACGAGCTTACCATTTTTATAGCACTTTATTTGATTTAGTTATTGAGGGTATATTAGACACCTACACAGTAAATAATTTATAAAATTTTCAACCTTTATTTGATTGTTTGACATTCTGATGAGCACAAAGCCACAAACATTTTTTTTTGACCAATCTTCAGTAATTTAAATTTTAAAATTCATTCAACACAAGTATTCCATAATCCATACTGTACACAGAAAATTATTACGATGTGGGATTTGACTGACTAGCATCCTGAAATATTTATATTGATGTGAATTATTTTCATTTAATTTGGGATAAAGGTGATGTTGATGTTGATGTTGAATTCTTTTCATTTATTTTTCGATAACCTTTTGCTAGTAGATCTGGGGAAGCAAATATTTTTTAAAAAAACACAAAATCACACCCCATCAAATCCCGACTAGCGAGGTTAGGAGTGAGGACAATTCTTGTATGTAGACTTACCCTTGCATATTTGCTAAGAAGCTAATATTTAAAAAGATATAGTAAATTAGTTTCCTCTGTTTGTTAAAATATAGTTGTTCGAGCTGAGTGACTGGGTAGTTGCATATGATTTTGTTTGACATTTTTGAAAAGGAGAGATATCCCTCATCAATCTGGGTTGAGGTGAAGTACAATTGCAGTAACTAAGTTGACATAACTGCCTAATGCCTAGGGGATTGAGATGCTAAAATGGTATGGGAATATATTGTACTGCTTTTCAATCTCATCCTCTCCTTGTATAGTTCTTGACTTCTTGTTGTCTCTGTTATTTTATTTTTGTCTATTGTGGCATCCTTGTCCATTCATATACTCTCTGCTTGTTTATGTTTAAATACTTTGGGAACTTTTTACCAAATTAGAGTTGTATTATTTCACTTATTCGTGATCAGAAATACCTTTGCAGGCACTTTTTCTGCGGTATGATTGCTTTCTTTACTCTGAGCAGCAATTTTGAAAATTAAGTAAATTGGTTGGGAAGGGCTCATTCCTCTGCAGTGGCAGAACCAAACATAGAGTGCAGGTGTATATGTTCTGATGGTAAGCATTTCTTTACTTTTATGATCGCTTCTCTTCTGTGTTTTGTGACTCTTGTTGAGGACAGCTCCACTAGGTTTACACTGCTTGCATAAGCACATTATTTGCTTAGTTAATTTGCTTATAGGTGTAGTCTGACATCTAGTTCATCATATCTCTTGGCATCCAGTAATTAAATTTACTAGTAATATACTTGTGCTTGTCAAGAACTTGATTTTCTATTAATAACTACTTTTAAACCCTAGAATCCACTGAGCTAAAACATGATCTTTGTATCAGTTTTATGCTTTAATATTCTTACACTGTAGGTATGGTGTTTTTGTTTCAGGCGACTAATGAAAATCTTCCACCAAATGTAATAAAGCAACTTGCCAAGGAATTAAAAAATCTTGATGAATCCCCTCCCGAGGGTATTAAAGTTGTGGTAAATGATGATGATTTTTCAATAATATATGCTGACATTGAAGGTCCAGGTATGTAGCTTTATGTTCTAAATTTGGGTTTTAGCATTAGGTAATGAAGTCAAGCTGAACCAGAAATTTGTTGTTGCAGCTGGGACTCCTTATGATAGTGGAGTTTTTCGTATGAAGTTGTTATTGTCTCATGATTTTCCACACTCTCCACCTAAAGGTTTGTTTACTTTAGACAATCCTTATGGACCATTTTACAATCTTCTAGTTACACTTTGAGACAGAATTATATTATCAGTTTTTTCCTTTTGGAATTTCAAATATATTATTTATTTAATCGAAAGACATTTATTTGCCCTACAGTCGTCTATTGCTTGACTTAGTTCAAATATTCCCAATTTCCCATCTATTCTTTTGTGTTATGTGACACGGTCAAACTTGTGATGCCATTGTTGTAGGGTTTTTCCTAACTAAGATTTTCCATCCAAATATTGCAACCAATGGAGAGATATGTGTCAACACACTTAAAAAGGACTGGAATCCTAGTCTTGGGTTACGACATGTTCTCATTGTAAGTAATGCAAAATCTCATTATTTCTTTTGACCTGTCTGGTTGCGGAGAGTTATTTTGATCTTATTGATCTTATTGAATTTAGTTTTGCATGATCAGTCTCTGTATTCATGAACTTCAGATTACCATAATTAACAGGTTGTTAGGTGTCTATTAATTGAACCCTTTCCGGAATCCGCTCTCAATGAACAGGCTGGCAAACTGCTGCTTGAAAATTATGAGGAGTATGCTAGACATGCAAGGTGAGTTAATCCAATAAAATATTATTGGTGTTGTCAATTAATTTCTCGTATGGAATCTTGATGTGAAATTGAGTACTTAAGATTACCCTTGTTCTCAGAATCTTGTGTGGCCAACAAAACTTGAAGCAACACATGTTGGAGCTTTAATTTTGTGCTCCCGGTGCACATTTCAATGAGTGGGCCGGAAGAGAGAGAAGGAGAGAGAAGAGTGAGGAGAGAGGAGAGAGGAAAATATTTTTTTCTTCAAGTGTCACATTTTTAGTGAAAGGACCACCATGGGCCACAACCACATTAAATTTTTCCCACATGTTGAGGATTTCTGTTTTATTCTTTTTAATTAATTGTTCGTCTTCCTAATAGAGTAATAGTAATTTTTACATTCATCTTCTGTCCAAGACAGCTATATAGAGCTTGTTTAGCTATATTTTTTGTGCTCCATTTCCTTGAAATTTAAGAAGACGAGTTTGAAGTCGTGGTAAAGTTGTTCCTGTGTAGTTAAAATTTTGAAAATAACCTCTTTGCAAAAATGTAAAAGTAAAACTCTGTATAAGGATTTATTGAGGAGCTGGTTTTCAATCATTATCTTGAAATTTCAGTTACTTCATTGAGCTATATGTGTAAACAAAGTTACTGAAATTTCAAGAAATTCTCATGTTCGATGATAGTTATGCTAATAATCTTGATTTGATTTTAAACTCAGGATATTTATCCATTCTACTTTTTACATCTTTAATATGTAAATTTTACCACCCTTCGCCCTCATAATTAAAGAGCTTCATTTGTTGCATGCAGACTTTACACTGGAATCCATGCAAAACCAAAGTCCAAATTTAAAAGTGGAGCCATATCTGAATCTAAGACTGCTCTGAATGTTGATCAGACAAACACCTCAGTTCTTAATGCTGGTGTCAAAACTGCACCATCGGGTGCTGCATTATTGTTGCAACCCCCTTTAGCCCCCTCAACTATGGCAACTAGAGGAAACAGCCAAGAACATGCTGCTGTAGCGGCGGAGCCAGCTGTTAATGGTTGTACTGCTGTACTAGTAGTTTCTGCACCACAAAAGAAGGAAGGCGGACTAGGTAAAGCTCAGGCAGATAAGAAGAAGATAGATGCCAGAAAAAGAAGCTTGAAAAGATTGTAATAAGGTTGTTCAATAATTCAACTTTTCATTTGCGGTTTAGTTTTAAGAGAAAAGGGAGATGGGGAGAGGGGAATGTGGAATCTGGGAACATAGGTTTGGACACAATTTTCAGATGACTAGTTCATGTGAAATTTTAACACTAGTGAATCCAATTCGAGGTTTCTTTCACTTTTTTTTTTTTTTTTTCTCTTTCTGTGTACATTACATTTAATAAGGGAGCAAGGCAAATTTGGACCTTTGTCATGCCATGGTTGATCACAATCTCAAAAATTAAGATTCCTTTACCCTTTATCATTTGCATCTGCTTTGGAAATCAAATTGGGAGGTAGGGATGCTAAAGTCAGGAGCCTTACAGGGGCCTTTGGCTCGGCTCGTGAAGGCCTGAGATTACATGTCTAAAATTAATTGTTGGACTCAGGCTTGGACTTGTATAAAAGCTTGTTTAATAAAAAAGCTTCTGTTATAAAAAAAAAAAAAAAAAAGGCTTCAAACTTCAATTCAAAAGCTTGGCCTTAGAGCCTCTCAGACTTGCCTAATATATTAATTTTTTATACTACGAGAGCTCTCTCTCTCTTCTCAATCCATTCCATCCCATTTTATTAATTAAACAGACTTTTTAAATAATTTTATTTTATATTATGCTATTTGAATATACATTAAATTTATGAATATTTATGGAATTACTATTGTTGTTAATTGTATATTTTGTTTGAATAAATTTTTGTTTTATTTTTTTTTAAACAGGCTAAATCGAGCTTTTATTTTTTGTAAATAAGACAGGCCACAGGCTGAAATTATATTCATGACAGGTAACAGACTTGGTCAGACTGACACATTTTAATACAAGCTTAGCCTATTAAGATCAAAGCTCGGCTCGGCCCGTTAATACCCCACTGGGAGGGAGTAAAATCATTTGAATCGAAAGCATGATCAAAAAGCAAAAGCATTGAAAATTCTTTCTAGAACCAGAAACAAACCTTTAAGAATATGTCTTGAGTGTACTGTTGGGTTCCTAGACGAATTCTAATAGGACAAAGACGTAGGTGGGTAGGAGGCGAAGTATATTGGAATAGTGATCAAAATATCATTGCTCATCAAGTTTTTTAATCCAAATATCACGCCAACAGTATTATTTTTCAATATGTCATGTGAGTAAGTTCGCTACGGTATATGGCGAACTACATTTTAAAATATTTATTTTTTTGCTACGGTACACTATTCCCAAAAGACATACTAGCTTCAGATGTTTATTGTAGTTTCATCATTTTTTCACTTTTTTTTCCGCAAAGCTTGCTTCTTCCCCATTCTCACCTAAATGGGTCTTCAACTTCGACCTGCTCCTCCTTTGCTTTTGTACTCATAGTAGTACATAGATGTATCCCATGGAGGGTGAAGTATGTTGATATAGGGGTGCTCATAGTGGCAATGGTAGAGACCAAAGCACTAGTGATGCTTCCCATGTATGTGGATCAAGGGGGAGTGTGTGTGTCTGACAACATATGAGAGGAGTCGGGAAGAAGAAGATCCCCTCTCCATGTGTGAGAGGGGTATTTAGAGAGGAGATTCCTCTCTTGCATGGGGGCTTGAGCTGGTCAGCCCATGAGCTGTCTCATCAAGCTGCTCCCTGTCAGTGGGGCAGCAGTGCAGGATGGGGAATGTCCCAGTGGTGAGCCTCAATGGCTTGCCATGGGTGCCCTCTAGAAGGTTCTAGATATGGGCTTTAAGCGATTGGGCCCATCTGGTGGGCCTAAGTGAGTAGCATCCAGGGCAGGAGCCCCCCAGCTTGGTAGCTTGAGGGAGTCAAGGTGCCAAGATATATGGCAGCTTAGGCCAGATACCCATAGTGTGCAGTGTTTTAAGCAGGATATAATGTAACCGATCGATAATACGTCGGCCTTCATGCGTTGTTGATGAGTTGTCGTCGAGTATGAATTGTCTGATTGGCGATGCTTGAGTACTTCAAGAGAATCTTCTATTATGACCGGTAATTGTGTTGAACTTTATTGTTTTCGAAGATGCGTCTTGTTATGGAGGAAGGTCTTCAAATGTTGTTGAAGTAGTAATAATTTAATTGTAAGAATAAGTTGGCAAGTCCATGTTGAATCAAGTATCCTGTAGATTTTAACAGCTGAAATAAAGATGTCTTGACCGTCTGATAATAATCCAATAATGTTGTAGATGAAAGCTTGAAGATCCTGATGATAAATATATATGCTCCGTTCTTCAGCAATAAAACTCGGTGTGTTGAATGAATGATAAATAATGCCTAGTGACTTGGGTCTTTGATGTATAGTTGCTCAGATATGTTGCTCCATGATCATGTTTAATAACTGAAATAAAGATGTCTTGACCGTCTGATAATAACAAAATAATAACGTCGTTGCAGATGGAGGCTTTTGGGGAAGATAATTTTTCCAAGAGAGAGATGTGATGAAGATTCTGATAATAAATAAATATATATGCTCCATTCTTCAGAAATAAAACTCGGAGGTGAGAAATAATGTAGTAGATGAAAGCTTCCCGAGAAGATAATGTGTTCCAAGAGAAAGAGATTGGGAGTTTTCGTAGATAAGAACCTTCCCACAGATGGCGCCAATGTACTCATAGTAGTACATAGATGTATCCCATGGAGTGTGAAGTATGTTGATATAGGGGTGCTCATAGTGGCAATGGTAGAGACCAAAGCACTAGTGAGGCTTCCCATGTATGTGGATCAAGGGGGAGTGTGTGTGTATGACAGCATATGAGAGGAGTCGGGAAGAAGAAGATCCCCTCTCCATGTGTGAGAGGGGTATTTAGAGAAGAGAGTCCTCTCTTGCATGGGGGCTTGAGCTGGTCAGCCCATGAGCTGTCTCATCAAGCTTCTCCCTGTCAGTGGGGCAGCAGTGCAAGATGGGGAATGTCCCAGTGGTGAAAGTCTATGGCTTGCCATGGGTGCCCTCTAGAAGGTTCTAGATATGGGCTTTAAGCGATTGGGCCCATCTGGTGGGCCTAAGTGAGTAGCATCCAGAACAGGAGCCCCCCCAGCTTGGTAACTTGAGGGAGTCAAGGTGTCAAGATATATGGCAGCTTAGGCCAGATACCCATAGTGTGCAGTGTTTTAAGCAGGATATAATGTAACCGATCGGTAATACGTCGGCCTTCATGTGTTGTTGATGAGTTGTCGTCGAGTATGAATTGTCTGATTGGTGATGCTTGAGTACTTCAAGAGAATCTTCTATTATGACCGGCAATTGTGTGGAACTTTATTGTCTTCGAAGATGCGTCTTGTTATTGAGGAAGGTCTTCAAATGTTGTTGAAGTAGTAATAATTTAATTGTAAGAATAAGTTGACGAGTCCATGTTGAATCAAGTATCCTGTAGATTTTAACAGCTGAAATAAAGATGTCTTGACCGTCTGATAATAATCCAATAATGTTGTAGATGAAAACTTGAAGATCCTGATGATAAATATATATGCTTCGTTCTTCAGCAATAAAACTCGGTGTGTTGAATGTATGATAAATAATGCCCAGTGACTTGGGTCTTTGATGTATAGTTGCTCAGATATGTTGATCCATGATCATGTTTAATAACTGAAATAAAGATGTCTTGACCGTCTGATAATAACAAAATAATAACGTCGTTGCAGATGGAGGCTTCTGGGGAAGATAATTTTTCCAAGAGAGAGATGTGATGAAGATTCTGATAATAAATAAATATATATGCTCCATTCTTCAGAAATAAAACTCGGAGGTGAGAAATAATGTAGTAGATGAAAGCTTCCCGAGAAGATAATGTGTTCCAAGAGAAAGAGACTAGGAGCCTTCGTAGATGAGAACCTTCCCACAGACGGCGCCAATGTACTCATAGTAGTACATAGATGTATCCCATGGAGGGTGAAGTATGTTGATATAGGGGTGCTCATAGTGGCAATGGTAGAGACCAAACCACTAGTGAGGCTTCCCATGTATGTGGATCAAGGGGGAGTGTTTGTGTATGACAGCATATAAGAGGAGTCGGGAAGAAGAAGATCCCCTCTCCATGTGTGAGAGGGGTATTTAGAGAGGAGAGTCCTCTCTTGCATGGGGGCTTGAGCTGGTCAGCCCATGAGCTGTCTCATCAAGCTGCTCCCTGTCAGTGGGGCAGCAGTGCAGGATGGGGAATGTCCAAGTGGTGAGCCTCTATGGCTTGCCATGGGTGCCCTCTAGAAGGTTCTAGATATGGGCTTTAAGCGATTGGGCCCATCTGGTGGGCCTAAGTGAGTAGCATCCAGAACAGCTTTGATTGAAAAAGTTGTTTTCTTTTCATTTCTTTGTTTCAACTTCACTTTAAAACCAGTGTACAGTAGCAAAAATGTCAGCTTAAAAGCCAGTGTATTCAGCATAGAAGGTAAACTTAAGTAGCAAATAGTGTACACTAGCAAAATCATTTTAGAAGGAAGTTCACTGTTATGCATAGCAAACTTCTCCCACTAGACTGATATTTTGACCACTTAGTTCGCTACCTGTTATAGCGAACTTGTACACGTGGCTGCCACATCAACAATCGAAGTTCACTATTTACTGTAGTGAACTTGTACGTGTGGTATTTTGGAAATTTTTACTGTTCATGTGACATATTGACAAATAATTTTGGGAACAGTGGCACTTTGGTCACTGTTCCAAGTATATTAATGTAATAGTGATCAATTGCGGGATTAGTATGGTAAATAAGAGCTCAAATGAAAAATCACAAGTATTATGAATGTTTGGATGGACTTTTTTGTCTACAAAAGTTTTTTTTTTTTAAGAAAAAAATCACTTCTCAAAAGAAGTCTGTTTGGATGTCTGTTTTTAAAAAAATAGAATTAATAAAAAAAGTCAAACACCAACTTTTTTTGAAAGCTAAAAATGTTAGCTTTTAAAAAAAGTAAAAGTCAAAAGTTAAATATTTTTTTCAAAAATTAAATATTTTTTTAAAATTTAAATAGTTTTAACTTTTGCAAAAAATACTTTTAAAATATGCTAGACATAAAATGAATTTTTTTGATAAGTGTACAAACGGGCTTGTTCCGGATGGCCCGATAAGGCTTGTTCCGGATGGCCCAATAAGGGTCTGGCCCAAATGGTCAAGACCCAACCCCCAATGAGCATCCACGTCAGCCCTACCAACAGGGGCGATACACGTCTCCTCCAAGGATAAACACCAAAATGCCTTACCTTGGGACCGTGACCACCAAAGGCAGTTGCCCGAATGCCATAAGGGGAAACTACCTCCTGTGTCCCATGCTGACACCGCCAGACACAGAGGGTGCAGCACTGCTACGATCGCAGCGCCTGTCACGCCCAACGCTGCTATCATAGCAAGCCCCAAGGAGGGTTGACCTTCTTCCCATCAACCTACAACGGATGCGCACAACCCTCCCTTATAAATAGCCCCCAGGGGCACACCATGAAGGTATCTTATGTATCGTTATACTGCTCATTTACTTTGAGTCATACTATCATCTCACCCCTTGTTGATTATCTAGCTTTTACTTGGCACAATACTCCTTAGCCTGGTATGCACCTGTGCTAAGGGTATCTCTCATACAACGACTCATTCTTAAAAGGAACATAGTGAGCTTATAGATCCCAACAGTACAGGGCTCTATGTCTCACATGAAGGTTGAGAATCAAGGGAGATGTCGTACAAGGGCACGATTTGACTGTATTGGGCTGAAATTCAGCAAAGTGAGGACACAAAATTGAGTGTGAAGATGAAGGTGTGTCCTTAATGGAGTGTGATATTTATAGTGAAATGAAGATTTTCCTTACCTGGAGAGGGTGAGCCAAAACTGTTTTTTGCCATGTGGACTCTACTCTGATGTGAGGCAATGTGATCCCTCACGTGAGAGGGGCACATATATAGATTGAAGAGGGGGAAACTAAGTGTAAAAAGGTGATATGATTAAAGAGTAATTGTGTCCACTGTATCTGAATTGTATACTTGAGATATTAGTTTAGAAAAAATTCTGAGGTTGAACCTGTTCGGAGTGATCACCAATTACTAAGTTATGATGGTAGGGTAAGCGTGTGGGGTATGTTCTAAGGCTGGATATGAGATTGGTCTGGCATAAGTGTATACGATAATGATTGTAACAAGGCTCGATGAGTATGGTTGAATGTAATCCGAATGTAAGTGTTCTCCATTAGGTACTGTTGATGTATTTATACAAGCCTTGAGATGTATTTATCATTGTTATCAAGGCTTTAGAGTAGTTCAGTTAGAGGATGATTGTGGGTACCAAAAAACGCGAGAGGATTCGTGGATATGATGCCACGGGTTCATAGGCTACACCTCAAGCCAAATATGTCTTGCCCGGGTAGGGAAATTTTAATATGTTTCGGGACTACCATGGTCCTTTCACTAAAAAATTGATATTTGTACAAATTTTTTTTTCTCCTTTTTCACTCCTCAACTTTTTCTCTCTTTCTCTCACCTCCACCCCACTAAATTTTTTTAGCACCCGAACTATAAAAATATCGCTCCCCGAATAGAAAAGCCTTTACATCCTCGCCAAGTGAGCCTAAACCCAGTAGGCCTACTCGGGTATATATCCGGAACATAATTCATTTCTAATTAACAACTGAAAAGAACTTAGAATTATTATTATTATTATTTTTTTCTTTTTTTTTGGTTTTAGATATAAAAGCATTAAACTATTAACTATCTGTGTATGATTTTATTTTATTTTATTTTTTCAAAAATCTATCAGAAGATATCAACTTCTCAGAAGATATCAACTTTTATCATTGCTGTAAATAAGGAAAACTACAGACTGCAATGGGTGTGACAGGTTTATGAAATGGTGCCTTTATCCCAGATTATAATCTAGCAAGAATGAAATATTTCTTTATGTGTGCACATGAAAATGTACAATCCGGACTTGTTTCAGTCAGAATTGATAATCTTGATTGCACATAATTGATGATTTAAGACTGTTTAAATAACACCTCTATTACTCTTCATCTTCTCACTGTTTTCTGTCATTTGGATTTTCTGCTTGAGAAGAGATGATTGATTACAGATAATTTAGAAAAGAGTAAATATCTTTTTGCATCATCATCAAATTTTACGATACCCATTTTAGTCTCTAGCAAATAAAAAAATTATTCATAATTCCTGAAAAATTTAAAATAAACCCATTTAAATGGACCTATTTAGTTGAAATCGTGATCTTTCACAAATTCAAAAAAAAAACTCATATTAGTCCCTTAAAAGAACTAAAATGAGACTTTTAAATTTCTTAAAGACCACAAATAACCTTTTTATTTATTAGAGACTAAAACAGGTATCGTGAAATTTACCGAAAACCAAAAACAATATTTACTCTTTAGAAAAACTTGCACTCGTACAATGCACTGGACAAGTAATTCAAATTCCAAAATCCATGTATCCGACGTATCAGTTATGGTCTGTTGCCTTGATTATCTTTTACACAAATTCAAGATTTCAAGTTTGTTCTTCTTAAGCCCAAAAGTCCTAAGATTAAGCTATTGTGCCCAACAGTTCCCCAAAATGAGGAGCGGTAGAAAGCAAAGTGCCATAAATATTACAACCTTTTTTTTTTTTTTTTCTGGATAAAATTACAAGACAAACTAAGAAGATACCATTCCACCACAACTATTAGCAGCAGAACATACCACTAATAGACGTTTAAGGTTGGATTTAAAACCATCAAATAAAAATGTAAGAACAAAGACAAGGACTACGAGCACTGTTATACAAGTCAACCTAGTCCAATTTTTTTTGTTTTTTTTTTTCCCTTTTAATCAACATTTCTTCATTTACCTTCTTGATGTGATCACTTGGCCATCATCACCTTAACAAATTCCTCGTAATTTATTTGGCCATCACCATCAACATCAGCCTCACGAATCATCTCATCAACTTCTTCATCAGTGAGCTTCTCTCCAAGGTTGGTCATCACATGGCGGAGCTCAGCAGCAGAAATGAAACCATTCTGATCCTTGTCGAAAACCCGGAACGCCTCTTTCAGCTCCTCCTCAGAATCAGTGTCCTTCATCTTCCTAGCCATGAGGTTCAGAAACTCAGGGAAGTCAATGGTACCATTTCCATCAGCATCTACTTCGTTAATCATGTCCTGGAGCTCAGCCTCAGTAGGGTTTTGCCCCAATGAACGCATAACAGTTCCAAGCTCCTTGGTTGTGATACAGCCTGCAAGTTCACACCATGTGTGTTAGAGAAAATAATATAAAACTGATTATCGTGGTCTTCATCCAACACCTAAAACTTTTAGGTTGAAATGATTCTTTACAATATGTAACACAATCAACAACGGCTTTTATAGCCTCATTATTAGTTACTCTCTAGTAATATACAAAGCCACATATGACTAGTGTGTAATCAACTTCTCCCATTCATTTTCAAAATTTTCTCTAACACTTGCCATGTTTCTTCTCAAGACACATAAACATGCTCACAAGTAGAGGTGGCAAAGTGGGCAGCCCGCCCCACCCCGCCATCAACCCGCCAAAAAATAAGCTAGCCCGCCTCGCTTTTGAAAGTGGGCTGAAAAAACTCAGCCCGCCCCGCCCCGTTTGGGGGGTCGGTCTGCCAGCCCGAACCTATTTTACATTGACCCGCCTCGGCCCACCTATGTCCGCCATCAACTCGCCAAAAAATGGGCCCGCCCCGTTTGGGGGGTCGGTCTGCCAGCCCGAACCTATTTTACATTGACCCGCCTCGGCCCGCCTATGTCCGCCATCAACTCGCCAAAAAATGAGCCCGCCCCGCCCCGCCCCGCTTTTGAGATGAGTTGAAAAACTCAGCCTGCCCCACCCCGTTTGGCGGATTGGTCCGCCGAGCCGAGCCCGTTTTGCCGGCTCTACTCACAAGCCATAGGGAAAATATAAATGAATCATGTTCACAAGAATGTCAATTATACTTTGAAAAAAGAGTTGCAAATGTAACTGTACATAACAGTTAAATGTTATCTAGTGATAATTATATCCCTGACTTCCTCGTTAGCATCAGAATATCTATGCTTGGAAATTATTGATCAGAAAATGCAGAGAAACCAAAAAGAAAAAAGAAAAAAGGAATCAAACTATCATTCTTTTCTGTTCAAAAAGCATAAACTCCGTTCTTCTCTTTTGCCCCCGTTTCCCCCTGAAAATTCGAACCAAAACAGCAGGACAAAAATATTCCAACACCGAGATCTACATAGTTACCAAAATTCATTTTTCAGGTAGAAAGTATTTTATTATAATTTTAAAAAATCCAGGAAAATTTAATTTCCACAAGAAAAACAAAAAACAAACATTACGTGTGATTCACATATACAATAAGTAATAAACAATAGTTCTTTCTATTAATCATACTCTTCTGACCTCGTTAACAAAAACAGAGACAAGAAAATAACGGCCACAATAATAACGTCAACATTTGTTTTTCTCGTACAAAAGTTCAAACCAGAAAAAACAAAATTAACATTACAATAGCGCAAAACATTAACATTTTTTTAAAACAAAATATCCGAGATCTAAATCCACAGAACAGCTCAAATAAATAACCAAATTAACATTTTTTTTTAAAAAAAGATTCTTAAAAAAATCAATAATTAACAATCTAACTAATTTCCTAATCAAAATTTTTGCACCGGCTTGTTAAAAACAAAATCACGAAAAGAAACACCGATCTGCGAAACTCGCACGCGTTAAGATCAAATCAAATACACAAAAACAAAAGAGAGAGAGAGAGATGCGAACCATCGCCATCCTTGTCGAACAAGCTGAAGGCCTCCTTGAACTCGGAGATCTGTTCGTCGGAGAGTTGATCTGCCATTGTTTTCTTCTTATGAGAGAGAGAAAATCGCTCTTTCTTTCTTGTGAATTACAACGGAAAGAGAAAGAGAAAGAGAGAACGCATCTTTGAACAAATGTTGGAGTTTATATATCAAAGAACCTCGATCCAAACACGGTCTTAACACAATTTTACCATTTTTGACTTTTCTTTTTCTTTTCTTTTTTTCTTTTTCTTCTTTTGCCCCTTCAGTTTTTACCCATAATACCCACCTTACCCTTCAATCATTCCCACACATTTGTTGTCCCTCTTTTTTTATTTTTCTTCAAAATGGTTTAAGTCAAATTAGTTAGTATATCTATAATTATAATTAATTATTTAATTATTGCTCCATCTGTTACCTCCTTAAGTTCTTATTAATTAAAATAAATTTTTTAAATCTCTAATTTTATACTATACAATTATGAGAAAAATATTTGTCCTTTTAAAGGACATATAATTGTGTCATTTTAAGAGAGAGAGAAAGACACAACTTAATATCTTTTCACTTAAAATTTAAATTTAAAAAAAATACTCCTTTCTCTTCCATAATTTTCATTATTTGTGTCTTTTTCTCTCCTAAAATGACATAACATCATATCTCTTAAAAGGACAAACACTAAACTCTATATTTATAATAGAGTTAGTGTTTATTCTTTTAAAAGAACATAAAATTGTGTCATTTTATTCAAAACTACTATATTTTGTAATGAGAGAAACAAAAATCATGGTAAGAAAAAGTGAGAGTTTTTTAATTTAAATATTAAATAAAAAGTAGTAGTTTAAATTAAAATAACTATTTTTGAAAAAAAAAACAAATATTTTCCTCATTTATTATTTTGTTATGCTATGATTTTAAAAAAGAAATACTTTTAAATTATTAAAATTTTAAGTCCGTTTTTCTTTGATTATAAAAAAAATACAGTTTTCTTTTTTTGGAGGTTACAAGAAATTGAACACAACACCCTACACTACACACACTCTTAACACACACCCCACACCACTAGGCCTCTTTTTAGTCTCTTAATATTTTTCCTTAGGAAAATAAGTACATAAAATATTTTAAAAAAAATCGTTGACTTATTTCAAAATATACACAATTGCATTGATGAAGTTATCTTTAAACTGGTAATAATTTTTTTTTTTTTTTTAAATGAGTTTTGTTTAGGTCTTGTAATTTTTAATATATGTGTTTATTATAATGATGATTAACTCTACATTTTTCTTTTTAAAATGCATCTTATTCTTCCAAAACTTGTTTAAATAAGATTTGAGGATTTTATAATAATATAACAAAATTTGTTTAACACTGTGCTTATTTTTAAATTAAATTATTTAACATAATCCAAATGAAAAAATGTTTTAATTATGAAATTGTTAGTTTAAATACAGATTCAAATGAATAAACTGTTTTTTAATTTGGTTAATTTCCATAAGGTATTAATGTCATATTGATAATAAAAATTAAGACAATTCTAAAAATAACTCAAATTTCAATCGTCACAGAACAGGGGCATTTTAGGTAAGATACGTCATTACTAATTTACTATACACAGATCTTCAGACAAGGTAGCAAATATCTTAAGTCACAATCAGGGGTATAAATGTAAATGTGTAATTATCAATAAACAAAAGCCAGCACAGAACGAATTGATACACAATTAGCCAGCAGTGTTCTCAGATTACTGACGGTGAGAGAGTAGCCACGTGGCAAAATAAGTATGTTAAGACAATTCACGGTCAACGATTACGAACTCACCTGTTTTATATGGAACTTACCGTACCTGACCAAACCTTACCAATTAAATTCTATTTACAGCATTACCATTAAAAAAAGAAACTGTTTTTTCTTAAACTAAATTCAATGTTCCTATGAATAGTTACAGTTGTTACTTGTTAAGTGGTGGAGAGTGATTCTTGGTTATCCTTTAAATGGTTTTTTTTTTTTTATTTAATTATTATAATGTATTTATTTTTATTTGATTTTAATTTTTCCTCTCATCTTATCGCTACGCAACTTGTAAAGTTGGAACGCGGTTACGCGGTTTGGACGCGGAGAGGGTGAAGAAGTGGGGCCCAGATTTCCTGCCACGTCACAAGTTTTTTTATTTAAATTATTTTATTTTCTTGTACTTTCATAGTATGGACTATGGAGTATCATGCCCACATGTTTTCCTGTCGCTGTGAAGTTCCAATTGAAATATGAAAATTCAAGCGGGTAATTTTCGTGACAATGATTATTTTATGGGTTTAATTTCTTTCGTGTTGTAAGAGATAAAATTATCTTATATATATATATGGGTCAGGATCATTTTACACCAGTGTAAGTTACACTCTTAATCTCATCCGTTGATCCCATTTATATCTAAGGGCTCTAATTTTTTAGTAATATGAGTCATTAGATACAAGTGGATCAATGATTAAGATTGAGTGTAAGATTTCTAACTCTTACACTGGTGTAAGAATATCCTGCCCCTATATATATATATATATATATATATATATATATATATATATATATATAAGTATGTGAAGTTTATGTGAAAAAAAAAAAATATATGTCTTACATATTTTTATCTATGTGTATATAAAAAATAATTTTATATACAAAGACTAGAGAGAAGGAACGATGAAAGAAAGTACAAATGCAAAGCATATATCGCCATCAAAGATAATTTTGAGGTTTCGTTAGTCAGGGGGTTGTGTACAATAACGAGACACTTCAAATGCTAATTTGAGTACATATTAGCAAAATGATTAAGGCAAACATTTGCTCTCTAGTCTTTAGCGATATCATGCTTGGGCTAATCAGTGGTTGCTATTGTTATGGCTGATTCATTATATTTATTTTTCTGTGTTGATCATAGTTATTTATTATTTAAAGATTAGAGAGTGTGACATATGTATACGAACATATATTAGCCCTTCCAATATTATTTTAACGGAAAAGTATTTTTTTTTTCTTGTCACGATAAATAATGTTATCTCCTTGATAAGAAAAATATTAAACCCTTATTTTAATTATTATCACTTATGAGTTATGATATTACATTTATTTATCATGATATTACATAAAATATACATGATCATTCGACACTTCATCTGAATTGTTAATTTATGTCAATTTTATGGCAATAATTTATTGAGTTATATTAATTAATTATTTATTAATTTTCAATAAATTATAGTCATCAAATTGGTCAAAATCAATGAGTTAGATGAACTGTCATGGTTCCTCAATTCTGAACTTATTAACACATCAAGTAAATAACAATAAAATTGGTAGGATACAATATGATGTTCATAGTAATGATGATAGATTGAATTCGGATCTCATCTTCATCATTTATCGTAACACTTTCCTTTTCTTAAATACTAGAGTTGGATCCGTAAAGTGAGACTTTTAGACCTATTGTAGAGGATTTTTCTCCTTGTACTAACACAGGTTACACCTCACGTTCAAGTGTGTTTGCCTCACACACAGTCGGGCTCATTAGGCCAAAACAATTGTGGCTCATTCTCTCACTCATTATTGAGGAATCTTCTCCATCTATAAATACTCATCTTCAGCCATTGAAGAGGTACGTTTTACACATCATTCAGAGAGTTATTACTCTATTGAAATACAACATCTAAAATCATTGTGCCCTCCTACTCATTTCTCCTTTGCTCTCAACCTTCACTTGAGACCATATCTACTATGACTCTTCACAAAACTTTGGTCTATAGCCTTTGGACCATTGTTACTTTGAGATATTATACCATTTTGAGGGAAACAACATAAATCTCACTATACAAACAATTCAAGAATCATTTAGAATCACCAATACATATTCATATGTAATCAAACTAAATGAATCTGTCTTGAATTATAAAATAAAATAAGTTAAGCTATGAAATACAATAAACCTTCTAGTCCAAGCCTAGTGCTTCGGCCTACAAATACAACTGGATTAGTTTCTAAGGCTATAAGACCCAAACGTACAACAATCCTTCCAAAACAATACTAAGATTATCTGATGCATTAGATCTAGAAGGTTTATCTCATTGTTTAAATTCGATTTAGAAAATATATTTTTTACTTCAATTAGGATTATTAGGATTAGAAGGTTTATTTAAAGTTTATTTTATCCTTATCTATAGTTTAGATTTTTATTGTAATGAAACTCTATTTAAAGAGATGAATTGAGACAATAAAGCACAACAATTTAGTCCCATTTTATCTTCTTTTTCTGATTCTTTCCCTTCTTCTCTTTGCTATCCTATTATGTTATCCTACACTGGTGCTTTCATCGCCAACACAGCCTCCATGGCGAAGAGCACCCATCTCTGCGATCATAAGCAATAACTCCAAAACCTTTTCTTATTCATGATATTATAAGGATCGGTTCATTGATGAAAGGCCTTAACGAATTTAGCAACCAAGACAACAAGCCCTCCTCCCTCCAACCCAAATCCACACCTACAAAATAAACATTGTCTACTCCTACCCAAGCTGAGATGAAAATACAAAGAGAATAGGGTTTATGCTATAATCGTGATGACAAATTTACTCCTAGGCACAAATGCAAGGGTCGACCTGCTCTTACATTGTAATCAAACTCTATTTTAAAGAGCATAATAGAGATCAATAAAGCATGACAATTTAGTCTCATTTTCTCTTCCTCTTCCTAATTTCCCTATTTTTCTCTTTGTTCTCCTATTTTGCTATCGTACACGATGCCTCTACTGACCTTTGATATCTTTCTTTTTTTGTTGGTACTTGTTCTAAAGCCTCTCAAAGCTTGTATTTTGAATTATATTAGTGTTAGTTGACTTGTACTCTAACATTCGTACCTCAACTATTAGATCAAGTACATACTTCCTTTAGGATAGAAAAGTTCCCTCCTTCGATCTTGCTACCTCAACATCTAATATGTACTTTAATTCTCCAAAATTCTTCATCTCAAAGTCTCCTCCTTGTTGGAAATTTAAGAGAGATGATGAAGAATGGAGAAGAAACTCTTTTATTAAAATTTCACTAAAGGATAAAATACATCAACGCACTCAATTTGAAATTTCTCACAAAACTTTCTTACAAATCTCAAACATAACACTC